ACCTGAACAGGTCCAACCTGGTCTTACTGTGAGACCGGGTATACGCGTCATGCTTGTGCGTAATCATATCGGCGCTTCCTGAGCTGATGAGGATGTGAGATTCTGGGATTCTCCTCAGACGGCTCCTGGATGTGTCGCCACATTGGAGACAGGAACAAGCGCTATTCAGCCAAAGTTTCTAAGTGACAAGTCTCGCTTCAGTGGGAGGAACCTTCCTGCGCTCTGGTTCTGCGACGCGCTCCAAGCCCCTCTCCACATCTTCAGCTCGCTGTGGACCTTATGTACGCGCTGACAGCGAGCTGCGCTGAGCAGTGTCCAGCTCAGATGTTCAGATGGGAATCTTTTCTTGGGTGATTTAGCTACGTCTGCGATGTGCGTAGAATAAAGTGTCAGTTCGTCTGCATGCGTCGGGGTAATTCTTTCTATTCTTTCTCCGTCAAAATAAACGGTCAAACACGGGAACTGTCCGGTCAACACAAGCCCTGCTTTTAACTGTTCTGTTTTCTTGTGAAAATAGATATAATTAAACTTGATTACCACCAGAGCCAGGCGCACTGCACCGGTATCTCCGTCACTGTAAATGAGGGAAAAACAAAATGATCGGATCCTTTTCTGACCTTCCCCACCTACAAAGTTTAATTACAACAATCAAACGTGACAGAGCCTGGATTTGTATTCTGAACAGTCTAAACATGTTTTAAAAAGAAACGTGTGACAAAAGTGGCGCCTGCTCAGTAAAACCACCAACAGGGTGAAAAATATCTAAATATTGTAGCAGAGACGGGCTACAACTTCTGGATCCACTTTATATAAATCGTTTTATTGATTATCTTCTTATGAAAGATAACTTTGACGTACACGAGCGACCGGTACCGGCTGCTGTCACCTGTTGTGATTGGTTAAAGCAGCTCTTTGCTGTCTGAGGGTAGGCCCCGCCCACAACACCGCGGCTGCTGTGGCTCCGTGTTTTCTTTACTGTGAGAAACGGGTAATAATGGCTCTTTGATGGGAACAGGTTGCCGACCCCTGTCCAAGTTGTAAAGTAGAACATGGACTGGAATCGGATTTGTGCGGTTTACCTGTTGCTCTGTTAAGGATCCCAAACCCCAGCACAGCTCCAGACGGAGATACCAGCCTGCAGCTCATAAGGATGTTCACCACGTTCACAAACGACCTGTCTGAGACCTGTCTGTGATTTGTCTGTGACCTGTCTGAGACATGTCTAGACCAGTCTGTGACCTGTCTGTGATTTGTCTAGACTTGTCTGAGACATGTCTGAGACCTGTCTGTGACCTGTCTGAGGCCTGTCTGTGACCTGTCTGAGACCTGTCTGTGACCTGTCTGTGACCTGTCTGAGGCCTGTCTGAGACCTGTCTGTGACTTGTCTGAGACCTGTCTGTGACCTGTCTGAGACCTGTCTGTGATTTGTCTGTGACTTGTCTGAGACCTATCTGTGACCTGTCTGTGACCTGTCTGTGATTTGTCTGTGACTTGTCTGAGACCTGTCTGAGACCTGTCTGTGACCTGTCTGAGACCTGTCTGTGACTTGTCTGAGACCTGTCTGTGATTTGTCTGTGACTTGTCTGAGACCTGTCTGTGACCTGTCTGAGACCTGTCTGTGACTTGTCTGAGACCTATCTGTGACCTGTCTGAGACCTGTCTGAGACCTGTCTGTGACCTGTCTGTGACCTGTCTGTGACTTGTCTGAGACCTGTCTGAGACCTGTCTGTGACCTGTCTGAGACCTGTCTGTGACCTTTCTGTGACCTGTCTGAGACCTGTCTGTGACCTGTCTGAGACCTGTCTGAGACGTGTCTGTGACCTGTCTGAGACCTGTCTGTGACTTGTCTGAGACCTGTCTGTGACCTGTCTGAGACCTGTCTGTGACTTGTCTGAGACCTGTCTGTGACCTGTCTGAGACCTGTCTGAGACCTGTCTGTGACTTGTCTGAGACCTGTCTGTGACCTGTCTGAGGCCTGTCTGAGACCTGTCTGTGACTTGTCTGAGACCTGTCTGTGACCTGTCTGAGACCTGTCTGTAACCTGTCTGAGACCTGTCTGTGACCTGTCTGAGACCTGTCTGTAACCTGTCTGAGCTCTGTCTGTGACCTGTCTGTGATTTGTCTGTGACTTCTCTGAGACCTGTCTGAGACCTGTCTGTGACCTGTCCGAGACCTGTCTGTGACCTGTCTGAGACCTGTCTGTGACCTGTCTGAGACCTGTCTGTGACTTGTCTGAGACCTATCTGTGACCTATCTGAGACCTGTCTGTGACCTGTCTGTGATTTGTCTGTGACTTGTCTGAGACCTATCTGTGACCTGTCTGTGACCTGTCTTTGATTTGTCTGTGACTTGTCTGAGACCTGTCTGAGACCTGTCTGCGACCTGTCTGAGACCTGTCTGAGACCTGTCTGTGACCTGTCTGAGACCTGTCTGTGACTTGTCTGAGACCTGTCTGTGATTTGTCTGTGACTTGTCTGAGACCTGTCTGTGACCTGTCTGAGACCTGTCTGTGACCTGTCTGTGACTTGTCTGAGACCTGTCTGAGACCTGTCTGTGACCTGTCTGTGACCTGTCTGAGACCTGCCTGAGACCTGTCTGTGACTTGTCTGAGACCTGTCTGTGACCTGTCGTAGACCTGTCTGAGACCTATCTGTGACCTGTCTGTGATTTGTCTGAGACCTGTCTGTGACCTGTCTGAGACCTGTCTGTGATTTGTCTGAGACCTGTCTGAGACCTGTCTGAGACCTGTCTGTGATTTGTCTGAGACCTGTCTGAGACCTATCTGTGACCTGTCTGTGATTTGTCTGAGACCTGTCTGAGACCTGTCTGAGACCTGTCTGTGACCTGTCTGAGACCTGTCTGAGACCTGTCTGTGACCTGTCTGTGATTTGTCTGTGACTTGTCTGTGACCTGTCTGAGACCTGTCTGTGACCTGTCTGTGATTTGTCTGTGACTTCTCTGAGACCTGTCTGTGACCTGTCTGTGATTTGTCTGTGACTTGTCTGAGACCTGTCTGTGACCTGTCTGAGACCTGTCTGAGACCTGTCTGAGACCTGTCTGTGACCTGTCTGAGACCTGTCTGTGACCTGTCTGAGACCTGTCTGTGATTTGTCTGTGACTTGTCTGAGACCTATCTGTGACCTGTCTGTGATTTGTCTGAGACCTGTCTGTGACCTGTCTGAGACCTGTCTGTGACTTGTCTGAGACCTGTCTGTGATTTGTCTGTGACTTGTCTGAGACCTGTCTGTGACCTGTCTGAGACCTGTCTGTGACTTGTCTGAGACCTATCTGTGACCTGTCTGAGACCTGTCTGTGACCTGTCTGTGACTTGTCTGAGACCTGTCTGTGACCTGTCTGAGACCTGTCTGTGACCTGTCTGTGACTTGTCTGAGACCTGTCTGAGACCTGTCTGAGACCTGTCTGAGACCTGTCTGTGACCTGTCTGAGACCTGCCTGAGACCTGTCTGTGACTTGTCTGAGACCTGTCTGTGACCTGTCGTAGACCTGTCTGAGACCTATCTGTGACCTGTCTGTGATTTTTCTGAGACCTGTCTGTGACCTGTCTGAGACCTGTCTGTGATTTGTCTGAGACCTGTCTGTGACCTGTCTGAGACCTGTCTGAGACCTGTCTGTGATTTGTCTGAGACCTGTCTGAGACCTATCTGTGACCTGTCTGTGATTTGTCTGAGACCTGTCTGTGACCTGTCTGAGACCTGTCTGAGACCTGTCTGTGACGTGTCTGAGACCTGTCTGAGACCTGTCTGTGACCTGTCTGTGATTTGTCTGTGACTTGTCTGTGACCTGTCTGTGACCTGTCTGAGACCTGTCTGTGACCTGTCTGTGATTTGTCTGTGACTTGTCTGAGACCTGTCTGTGACCTGTCTGAGACCTGTCTGTGACCTGTCTGAGACCTGTCTGAGACCTGTCTGTGACCTGTCTGTGACCTGTCTGAGACCTGTCTGAGACCTGTCTGAGACCTGTCTGTGACCTGTCTGTAACCTGTCTGAGACCTGTCTGAGACCTGTCTGAGACCTGTCTGTGACCTGTCTGAGACCTGTCTGTGACCTGTCTGTGACCTGTCTGAGACCTGTCTGAGACCTGTCTGTGACCTGTCTGTGACCTGTCTGAGACCTGTCTGTGACCTGTCTGAGACCTGTCTGAGACCTGTCTGTGACCTGTCTGAGACCTGTCTGAGACCTGTCTGTGACCTGTCTGTGACCTGTCTGAGACCTGTCTGAGACCTGTCTGTGACCTGTCTGAGACCTGTCTGTGACCTGTCTGAGACCTGTCTGTGACCTGTCTGAGACCTGTCTGTGACCTGTCTGAGACCTGTCTGTGACCTGTGTGTGACCTGTCTGAGACCTGTCTGTGACCTGTCTGTGACCTGTCTGAGACCTGTCTGTGACCTGTCTGAGACCTGTCTGTGACCTGTCTGAGACCTGTCTGTGACCTGTCTGAGACCTGTCTGTGACCTGTCTGAGACCTGTCTGTAACTTGTCTGAGACCTGTCTGTGACCTGTCTGTGATTTGTCTGTGACTTGTCTGAGACCTGTCTGTGACCTGTCTGAGACCTGTCTGTGACCTGTCTGTGACCTGTCTGTGACCTGTCTGAGACCTGTCTGTGACCTGTCTGAGACCTGTCTGAGACCTGTCTGTGACCTGTCTGTGACCTGTCTGAGACCTGTCTGAGACCTGTCTGTGACCTGTCTGTGACCTGTCTGTGACCTGTCTGAGACCTGTCTGTGACCTGTCTGAGACCTGTCTGAGACCTGTCTGAGACCTGTCTGTGACCTGTCTGTGACCTGTCTGTGACTTGTCTGAGACCTGTCTGTGACCTGTCTGAGACCTGTCTGTGACCTGTCTGAGACCTGTCTGAGACCTGTCTGTGACCTGTCTGAGACCTGTCTGTGACCTGTCTGAGACCTGTCTGTGACCTGTCTGAGACCTGTCTGTAATTTGGTAGCTCTGTTTTAACCTGGTCTTGTTTTTTGGTTATTTAGCTGATTTTGGGATCTCGGCTCAGATCACAGCCACTCTGGCTCGGAGGATGTCTTTCATCGGGACGCCATATTGGTAAGGTCCAAACTCTGACAAGAACCAATGTTTATTTTCCAGGATTGAGCTTTGTACCAATCCAGTCAGCTAACAGCGAGGTGATACCCCCACAGCTCCAGCAGGAGAGCTGCTATTACCTCCAGGTTGTCTCTTTCTGCGTCGCTTTACAGGCAACAGCAGCTGCACGGGTCTTTCTATTGTAGGTGTAGCTGACTGACACCAGCGGTGTCCTGAAATCACTCACCAAACAGAGAGATGGTAATATTATATGTGGTGATGTTTTCCTCTCAGCTGTACAGTAAACACTCTGTTCACATAGAGGCCTCTTGGAACATCCAGGTGTTTTCTGGCAAAGTGTGGGATGGGAGTTTTTGGATCATGACCTCTGACCTTAACCTGAACCAAATGAAGCTCTCATTAACTGAGAGAAAATCAACATGAATGAATGACAGATAGAGCCATAGCTGCCTGATGAGTAATCTGGATACTGTACTCAGCTGCACAGAGTTTCTACAACAGGAACTTGAGCATGAGGTGGACGTAAGAGTGGCTTTATAATAAAAGTTAGTTTCCCTCCTGACCTCAGGATGGCGCCAGAGGTTGCTGCCGTCGAGATTAAAGGTGGCTACAATGAACTGTGTGACATCTGGTCTGTGGGCATCACAGCCATAGAGCTTGCAGAGCTACAGCCTCCCATGTTTGATGTCCACCCGCTGCGGTAAACACACACACACACACACACACGTATAAACACACACACATATGTATAAACACACACACACACGCAAACACGCACACGCAAACACATACACACACACAGAAGGTAATTAGGGACAGGAAGTTGGCTCCCTGGTTTAATTCTCATTTACGAGCCTTAAAACAAAACTCTAGGAAATTGGAGAGAACATGGCGCTCTACGAACCATGAGGAGGCCTACCTATCCTGGAAAAATAGTCTTGTGCTTTATAAAAATAAGCTTTGACAAACTAGAACTGCTTATTTTGCAGCACTAATTGAGGAGAATAAGCATAATCCTAAATTTCTTTTCAGCACAGTTGCTAAACTTACACAGAATCATAGCTCTGAGCCATCTATTCCCTTAGCCCTCAGCAGCAATGACTTCATGGGATTTTTTACAAGTAAAATTAATTCTATTAGAAACAAAATCTTTAGCATCCTCCCTAATGCGATTTCTTCTTCCTCAGTAAGTGAGGCAGCATCAGAGGTGACTGTAGAACCTCATCTGTGTTTGAACCGTTTTGATCCAGTTGAGCTTTCAGAGTTATCAAAAATATTAGCTTCATCTAACCCTTCATCTTGCATTTTGGATCCAATCCCAACCAAATTATTTAAAGAAGCATTTCCTTTGGTTACTGTGATGATATGCTAGAGTTGGGGCTTGTTGGGAGATAAATCTGTACATCGTCAGCATAGCAATGAAAATGAAGTTCATGCTTAGCTAAAATTCTTCCTAGTGGTAGCATGTATAATGAGAATAGAAGTGGCCCCGGAACAGATCCCTGGGGGACACCACTATAGAGATGAGCAGGCGGGGAGAGAGCATCACCTAGCTTCACTGAAAAGCTTCTGCCTGATAGATAGGAGGTAAATCATTTCAGGACTGTACCACGAAACCAACGTGATCTCTTACTCTTAGACGTGAGACAAGAATCTTGTGGTCAACCGTGTCGAAGGCAGCTGAGAGGTCTAACAGCGCCAGTACAACCGGCTGGCTTCGTCTACTGCTCTGGCTATGTCGTAATGCACTTTCAAGAGAGCAGACTCTGAGTGACCGAGAACCAGACTGGAAGGTTTCTAGGATGCAATTATAACAAACCATTAAAAAATTTAAGATTTTTTTTAATTATTATAAAATATCATAAGAAGTAGGAAAAGTAAAAATTGTGATTCATTAACACCCCCACCCCCCCACCCCCGCGGCTGGTCTCATCCCGCTGAGCTCGGGTACTCTACTAGAGGCCTGGGAGGGTTCTGCATTACCTCCGTTGTTCCTAGAGCTGCTCTTTTATGGACTCCGACGTCTGTTTTCCGGGGATCTGCTTTAGCCGCTCCTCCGGTCTGGGGTCGCTCAGTAATAAACCTTCAGTTCTGTACCGAAGAAAGGAGAAGCTCTTGTTCAGGAATATTCTGAGCGGTTTCAGGTCTCATGATGTGCACGTCAGAATCCTCCCGCAGATGAGAAACAGCAGTCACCTCAGATGTTTCCCCTGAGCATCGGCGTGCACGTGGACTCTCACCAGCACACGGTCTGGGTTGGGGGGGGGCTGACGTATTTCTCTGTGACTAATGTCTTCATTTGAATTTTCAGAGTTCTGTTTCTCATGTCTAAGAGCGGCTACCAGCCTCCCAAACTGAAGGACAAATCCAAATGGTAAATGTTTTAATAGTGTTTAGTTTGTGCTTTAAAGGGATATTCCACTAAAACAGGAAATCTGTTGACATACTTCCCAGAGTTAGGAAAACACAGCCCAGTCATTCTCCTGACCCGATTGTGCTGCTTTAGCTTTAGCTTAGCATAAAACACAGGAAGTGAATGGATCCAGCTAGCATTATGAGTAAAAACGTCCGTCGTGATCCCAGTTCTGCTCGTGGGTTAGGGTTAGGGGTGGAGAAGGAGTGACATCAGCAGCCCTGCAGACCCACGCAGCACCATCCGCCTTCCTTCTCACGCTCCAGGTTCCCTCACCAGACCCCGAGACACAAACAAGTCAGCAAGAGGAGGTCAAACCTCAGGACCAGCCTTCTTGCTGTGAGGACAAACCATCTTGCCTCACAGCAAGAGGGTTGCAGGTTTGAATCCCAGCTCTGGCCGTTCCACGTGTTCTCCTCATGGTGTTGTCTGGGTTCTATCTTACAGACAAACTCTCTGCTCTGTAAATAATCCTACATGGATTCTAGAATAAAAATGCTTTTGTCCCTGGTTGTGCCCAGGCGTGTGCTCCTCCCGACGTTTCCTAAATGCTCATCATGTCTGCAGGTCGTCTAACTTTTATAACTTTGTGAAAGCCATGTTGGTGAGGAACCCAAAGAAGAGACCCAGTGCCTCCAAGATGCTCTCGGTCAGTAAAGCTCACAGACCCACGCTTCTCGCTAACATTTCTCCTAAAAGCTAAGTGACGCAGCGCCACATGTCCTCGATGTGGTCCACAACTAAAGTCCGTCACTCTGCGTCTAGAAAGCTTTCTTCTGCTTTTGGCAAGCTAACGGCTTCAAATGATCTGATTCTAAGTAAAGAGGAATTTCTTTGTGTTTTTGTGTGAAGTTCCTGAAAAGCCTCTGTTCAGAGAAACAGAGTTGACATCCTTCAGCACTGATAGGCTAACGGCTAGTCCCAGCGCAGCCAGGACCAACGCGCGTTGCTGCCGTCTCCAAGCAGCAACCTTTAAATCACCTCCAGCAGTTCCTGGTAACTGGTGCTGATGTTTCTCTTCTCCGTTTTCACCTGCAGCACACGTTCCTGACTCAGCCGTGTCTGAACCAGGAGCTGACCCTGGACCTGCTGGAGAAGTATCACCATCCCGAGAAGCTGAAGGCCTGCGCGGCGATGGAGGATGAAGAGATGGATGTGAGATATTTAACCTTCACTTGGAGTCGGTCACACCTGGGTGGAGTGAGGGAGTGAGTGGGTGAGTGAGTGAGTGAGTGAGTGAGTGAGTGAGTGAGTGGGTGAGTGAGTGAGTGAGTGAGTGGGTGGGTGGGTGGGTGGGTGGGTGGGTGAGTGAGTGGGTGGGTGGGTGGGTGAGTGAGTGAGTGAGTGAGTGAGTGAGTGGGTGGGTGGGTGAGTGAGTGAGTGAGTGAGTGAGTGAGTGAGTGAGTGAGTGAGTGGGTGGGTGAGTGAGTGAGTGAGTGAGTGAGTGAGTGAGTGAGTGAGTGAATTCTTTATTGTGTTGTACTTCCCTGTCATGGTGTCGTGAACAGCATACGTAAATCTCTCCAATAAGAACTCAAACAGCGTTTCTGCTGAAACCAGCAGCAGTAAAAGCAGCCGGTCAGTGTGGGGGTGTAGCCGACGCCCTCCCTGTACGGGAAACGCCCCCTCGTGATGAGATGGAGCCGTTTAAAGAGCCAGGAACACCTGAACGAACATGTTTTTGCTGGTAAGCTGTGCAGACGTGTCGAACCGCGCCACACACGCGTGGCAGTTTCTATCTCCATCTTCAGGTTAAACCTCTGCTCCACACTGATTTCATCAGCCACAGCTGATGGCTGTAGCGCTGCAGGGTGACGTTAGTACCGTACCACGTGGCTGCGCTGGACCGGACTCCTGCTGAGTCTCGCCGCACCTCCACCTGGCTCAGCCACTCACCTGACACGTTGGCACTCGCAGCCGCTCGCCTGTCCTCCTCCCTTTCTCCTAGTGATGGCGGTGAACAGGAAATCCTCTATCCTGCAGGTTTCTGCGTCTGCTCCTCTCCTGAGCAGCGAGTTGGCTCTGTGGTGGTAACTGGTGTTCCTTCTTCCAGCCAACAGGTGCAAGTCTTTTGGTTCTGCTCCTCAGGGACCTGAAGCGTCTCCCTGACGGAGGCAGTAGCAGCAGCTGTGCTTTAATAAACATCTGGAGCTGGATGGGTAGGGGCAGCCAATGATCTCGTCTGCTGATCTGATGGTGGAGCTAAAGGTCCAGACTTCACCTGATGGAGGTGATCTGAAGCAGTTATTAGTGTTGCTCTGCTGTGGGAACCTCATGCAACTATTGCAAACTTTAAATGAAAGATAATAAATCTGTCCGTTGTAATTGTTAACTTATGTAGAAAAATAGCTTTTTGTCTTCTTCGGTCCGAGTTAGGATGCCACTTCAGACAGGTGGACGTTCAGCGGAGGACCAAAACGACTGTTTCAAATGTCTAAACATTGAAAATAATCAGTTTTATGGTAATTATTATATATAAATAATGAATCGCTTCAGGTCCCAGGTCACATGGATGTAACGTGTTTTAGTCCATGGGCGGGACATTGGAAAGCTGAAGGTTCCAGATCAGGAAAAATCCACTTTTTGAAGCTTTTTACCTTCATGTGGTGATGTCACTTCCTCATGAGAAATCCCCCAAACCCTGTTGTGGCTGCACTTATGAGTTTTCCTTCCTCGTCTTCAGTTGGGCCCATGTAAAGATTTTCCTGCTTCCAGGAGAAAGTAGCCCGCTTGTGTCACCAGGCATTTCTCCTCCCCTGAAGCTGGTCTGGTCTCGGTTCTGAAGCCCGGATCTTCTGACTGATGACTTCTGCATCGGGACAAACCAGCCGTGAAACCCGAGTCCCGTCTGCAGAGACACACACACAATGTGCCTGCTTCTGAGTACTTAAAGGTTGTTTTAAGTCTGCATTGATTGCTTGTAATTTAAACCAGAACTGGTTTTAATTGGGGATAATAAAATCCTGCGTCGGCGTTCCCTGTACAGGACCTCGTATTTATTTGCCGGTATAGCGCGTGCACACACATCGAAACATCGTGGCTCGCTCTTTCGTAATTCAAAGCTAGAATGCTAACGTTAGCGTAGCTTTTTACAGGGATAAACGTATGTGTGCTTCTGTTTCGTTCTTATAGACCGAGAAACGGCATCAGACGGGACGTCTGGAATATTCAAACCGTAAAACAGTATTTTCTTTGCCGGGTATGCGACGTCAGACGCGATTAAAAAAAACACGAGGGTGATCAGGCCCCGGCTACAGGATCTTTAAATGTTTAATTCAAATTCAATTCAAAGATGCTTTATTAATCCCAGAGGGAAATTAGAGTTTCAGTACACACAATTCTGAGATCAGACAGACATACATAGACACGTGACAAGAATTGGTGACTGTGGTCATTCGCGACTCGAGTCGCGCTACCTTAATAGAGATCAGAGGGTTCATATGAGGATTGGTTCAAGTGGAGGAAAAAAGGCACTTCAGAGTTACCCTCCACAGGTAGAGCAGCTTTGCTCTGCAAAAAAACACCTCAGACAGAAATGCAACAGACTTCCGACATTACACAACATAAGTGTCCACTAGGTGGGGTGGTGGGGTTTGGGACTCTCCTCACATCAGTGCGTGCAGCCACGATAAGCAGCGCTCGTCACCTCCGTTTGGACAGGGGAGGGAGGTCGTTGGGTTTAGAGAGCACAGTGCCTTCTGGAAACGATTCCACGGCCTTCACCGGTCACAGTCCCGCCCAGGCTGGGATAGGGAGACAGAGTTGCCATGGCGACGGCAGCATTCCACATTTCTTCTGAGGGGGAGTAATCACTTCAGCCTCACAGGCACAAGGGCACCAGATTCAGATAAGAACTTGTTTTGGCGACTGGCAGAGATCATTTCCTCTCTGCCTTAGTGTTCTGTTGGTCTCCAACCCCTCTAGATCCAATAATGGTGTAATTAATCTATCCCAGTCCGTGCTGATCCGTCCACTCTCTCCTTGATGGAACCCACCTTCTGTGCCAGAGCCTGAATCTCAGCCACAGTTCCAAGCTTACGACTCATCTCGACAATTATATGAGTTTGTGCGTTCACAGCGCGGTGTAATCCATCCCTGAGCTCTGGGATTGAGCCAAAATTCCTCGAAAGCTCGTTAATTTTCCGGTAAGCCAGGTAACCACTCAGGCCAAACAGCAGGAATCCCGACACCAACACCACGAATATCCACACGTCTTCAGAATCCTCTACAGACAGCTGAGAGAGGCAGATCAGGTCCCACTGTTTCCAGGAGTCCATGATATACCCAATGGGCTCTGTCCCAGAGGGGCAGCCGGGAGCCCCTTCTCCCGTTCTCATCGTTGAAAAAATGTTGTCAATCGCGTTGAGAGACCAGCTGACCAGGTCCACTTTAATAGTTTCCAGTTTCCAGAAAAAATGCAGAAGCGCCGTCCACCCAGAGACAGACAAAGAGCCTTGGGTTAAGATTATATGGGGCAGCAGTAGCTCAGGTGGTAGAGCGGGTTGCCTCATGATCGGAGGGTCGTGGGTTCGATTCCAGCCCCCGCCAGGGGTATCCTGCTGTTGTGTCCTTGGGCAAGACACTTCACCCAACTTGCCTGTGTTAGTGGTGGTCAGAGGGGCCGACGGCGCCAAATGGCAGCCTCGCCTCTGTCAGACCTCCCCAGGGCGGCTGTGGCTACAAGTAGCTTACTGTGAGAGTGTGTGAAAGCGTCTTTGGGGGTCTAGAAAAGCGCTCTATAAGTTCAGTGCATTATTATTATTATTATTATTATTATTATTATTCAGGGAACATAAACACACTTCGTATTAATTCAAGTATATAGTCCTAAAAATGACTTTATTTCTATTTCCCCAACCTACTGATTATACAAGACAAGGTATGAATGTAGTGGATGAAACGATGGAGGAGATGTGCTAGAAGAACTTCCTGAAGTATCTGAGGGAGATTGTGGAGTCTGGGTTGTAAAATCAGTTTGTCTGTGTGGTTTGATTCGCTAGAGATTTGTTCATAAAACCATCCGACACAATTTGTGCCGAGCCTACGCACCCGTGTGTGGAGATCCTCGTGTGATCCCGGGGTTCAGGAGGTCGGGTTGGACACTGCCGGTGGAGTGAACCTCTAGGTACCAGGAACCCGTAGATTAGCTGCGATACGACCTGTCTAGTCTGAGATCTCTGCAGGTGATGACAGGAAGCTGGAATGCTTGTTTTTTTGTCTGACATCCCTCGCAGCGTTGCAGAGAGGCTTCCACCTGATGTCAAAAGTAGGACGGTTTCAGAATTCATCTCCTGTAATGTTTTGTCTTAAGGTCATGCATTCTGCGTCTTTAAAGAGGATCCAGTCCATAAACAAACACAACCGGGCCGAGAGGACCAACTCGGACACAAGCTGTAAAGAAACTAAACTCCTTCTTTATTCCGTTCATGTTAAGTTGAAATAATTCATTTGAAGCATGAAACCTTTGCTTGTGTTCTGCTCAGTTGAACAGGTTTACGCTCGGAGGCCGACGTACCGCGGATCACCAAACGTCACGGTAAAACGGTGCTTTCCAGCATTTATCTGTTACACGTGTGGACTCTGTGTTCACCAGCGACTCATGTCCCTCACATGTAAATGTTCACCATATTTGGCTTAATTCTTTCCAGTTAAGACCATCGACAGGATCAACAGACAGCAACAACAGCCCATCAAGGTCGCCAGCTCCCACATTACTCCCACACATCCAACAATTCTGGTGAAATAGTTAAAGCTGGCTTTCCTCTCTTCCTCCAGGGATCCGGACACAGATTCAGACGACTACGATGACATAGACATGTAAGAAAATATCAACATCAGTGTCTTCTTTAACCATCTGCTCTTCATTTTGATGGTCAGTGCCCCGTTTTCTCCCTTCAGCCCAACCATGCAGCCCGACAGGTACGCCGGGCTCTCTCACCTGCTTCTGTTTGGTTTCTTACAACTGAAGATCTGAGTGAACAACTTTGTCTCTGTGCTGCAGTTTCATGACGACAGAGAATGAAACTCCACCTCCACTTCCTCCAAAGGTGATTATTCATGTGATTCGAGGCCGTGAGCTGCCATGAAGACCAGCTCTAATGTGTGGCTAACAAAGGGTTGTTCTTTATTTCTGTGTTTTATTCCTGTTGTAGTCTAAAGGACGGGTCGTTTACATCTCACTTATGAACCATAAAACGTGAGATTCCATAGAAATATGAAACATCAACCTGATGGATCTTTGACTATTTTAACCAGAAGATCAGAACTTTTTATTGCAGGGATTAAGAAACACTTCGTATTAACTCCGAGGAAAGAGAGAGAGTCAGGTTTATAATAGTTCAGAAATGTATTTCTACACAGTTTAAACAAGACTACTTTAACACTCTGTGTACTGATGGACTAAGGTGGAGTGAGACCTGATGAATGATGATGGTGTGTGTGTGGAGTGTTATTCAGAACCAGCGGATCCGGAGAAGCGGTTAGTTCTGAGTGGGAGTGAATGTTTCACTCTAAACTTTAGTAGGAGATTTATAACACGCATGAAACGCCGTCTGTCGGTCTACGTACCCCTGGGGAAGCCTCCGTTTAGATCCAGGATGCCGAGGGCCTCTCGGACCCTCCTTGGTACCGAAGCCGGTAGAAAAGCAGCGGTGCCGACCAAACTAGTCATGGAATGCTTCCAGGTCACGACAGGTTATAACTGGCGTCTCCGAGACCCTGAAGGGGTCGTGAGGTTCAGCTTTTATTCTGAAGGAGCCGTTGTGGTCAGGTGTAACGTGCAACTGATTTTATCCAGCTTGTCGAGGTTCTTTTGGCTGAAGAGGAAGTCCGGATGGCCGGTCCCAGACTTCTCCAGAACGCTTGAACTAAAGAAAAGGTGGCGTGGGAGAGTTTTTATAATTGTTATATTTTGGTTTACTGGCGAATCAGAATGTGACATGCAGAAGAGGGTTTATACAAACACCACAGATAACCACGCCCAGCCAGAAACGAAGGTTCTGATTGGATCAGACAAAAGGAAATGTGTCGTGTGACTGTAGCATTACGTGTCATCAGTGTCTAGTGCAAATGTCCCGGATTATAATTACTTATAAAAACTACTGATCACATGATTATAATATCAGGTAATAACATTGTCATTTCACAGACTGATTGAACATTGGGCTCACGTTATTATTGGTAATAACAAAGTTGTTGATTATCAGAGTAGTTCTTGTCTTCGCTGTAACAGAGGTGAAGCAGTTCAGGTGAGCAGAGTGCATGAAAGACCTTGGCCACTATTTCATGTAGATTAGCCTGTCAGAGACTTTTTGTCTCCGCTCGAGCAGACGCAGCAGATCATGACCTTTAGGTCAAAAACAGGACATTCATGACGCTACAGTAGTTAGCAAGGTTTCTGTCTGAGTTCAGTTTATCCATCCATCTTCTGCCGGTATTCTGGGGTGGGGTCGCGGGGGCAGCAGCCCAAGCAGGAAGGCCCAGACTTTCCTCTCCCCAGCCACTTGGGCCAGCTCCTCTGGAGGAATCGCAAGGCGTTCCCTGGCCAGGTGAGAGACATAGTCCCTCCACCGTGTCCTGGGTCTTCCTTTAGCTCTCCTCCCGGTTGGACGTGCCTGGAAAACCTCACCAGGGAGGCGACATTCCACATACTGAGAGCCAGCTTCTGTAGCCGAGGATCAGACCGCCAAGGTCAACCCCCTCCTGTCTTCGGCCACCACCAGTCACACACGCCAGGCTCCATGGTGAAAGCCCGGCCACCAGACTCTTGCTGACGTGCCCCACCTCCAGGTCTGGCTCCAGAGGGAGGCCCTGGTGACTCGCATCCGGGCGAGGGAACACTGTCTTTGTCTGATCCCTCACCCAGGACCTGTTTGCCTTGGGTGACCCTACCAGAGGCAGAAAGCCTCAGATGACTTAGGATCATTGGGACACACAGCCTCTCCACCAGGGTAAGGTGGCCGCCCAGGGAGGGGCAGTTCAATTCAGTTTAACGATATAGCGCCAAATCAGGACAAGAGTGTCTCACGGTGCTTCAGGAAAAACTACTACTGCCACAGGAAACATTCCAGTAGAGTCCGGTTCATTAAAGGGGTAAAACTGCCTGCTGACATTTGTCAGAGTGAGATGAGGGGAAACCAGCCCAGTCTAACCCTAACCCTACTCCTTTAGCTTTAGCTTAGCATAAAACACAGGAAGTGAATGGATCCAGCTAGCGTTGTGAGTAAAAACATCAGTTCTGCTGGTGACCTAAATAATCTGAGGTGAAAATATTAAAGTAACATGAAGGAATCACAGCAGCCATTCGAGACTTGGGACTGCTTTGCCATTGAGAGCATCCTCACTGGATGCATCTCCACCTGGTATGGCAACAGCACCGCTTACAACCGCAAAGCTCTCCAGAGAGTAGTGCGGTGTGCTGAAAGGATTATTGGAGGTGAGCTTCCCTCCCTCCAGGACATCTACACCTCACCCTCACTACTGAAACTCCAACATTACACACTCCATACTGTACATTAATGCCACTGCTCTGCACTTACCAACCTCTTTATATTTTATATCTCTTATTTTATTGTTTACTTTATTCATTTGTATATTTAGATTAGCCATTTTAAATTTTACTTGTTTTTACTTTACTGTATTTTTGCACAACTCTGTTGCTGTGAAGCTCGCACACAAGAATTTCACTCGCATGTACTGTACCAGTGTACCTGCACATGTGACGTGACAATAAAAGTGATTTGATTTATGACTGAGCACAGCTGTTTGCTGAACGAGGCTAACTGTTTCCTGCTTGTAGCCTAAAGCTCGGACCAGCTCAGAGGAAAGCATCGCCGGGGATGACGATCGAAGCAGGAAGCCCTCCGCTCTTTACACCCCCTCTCCTCTAACCAGGACATCCAGCGTGACTCATGTCCGATCCACTCCCCATCCCAGAGCCTCGCGACACTCAGGTGAGAACACCAGGTGGAATTGTGGAATCACTGATTAAATCTGAAATGCTGGGCCCTCCTCCCCGATTTAAAGTAGGCTTCCTTAACTCCTCTCTCAAACCATCTGTCTTCTCTGTCCAGAATCTTTGTCTCCTTCAAAGCGTGTCCTCGTCCTTCAGGTGTAAGTAGACTGCAGAGTAGGGCCGGGCGATATGGCCTAAAATCAACTTCACCATATAGTGAGGACTGCACCTCCATAACGATACATGGACGATAACTATAGGTATGCGTAGAAACAAACGTTGTCCACCAGGTGGAGCTGTCATGTGACTCAAGGTGCATTCGCTTCTTAAAGGGACATGAACGCTGCCAACATACACACACCTTTTAATTTTTATCATCAAATTCATTAACACAGGAAAAATGATCTCGATAAGAGTCAGAAATTCCGATAATGATAAATCTTGGATTTATTGCCTGAAGAGGTGGCTCTCCTGTGTCGTGCCATGCTCGTGTGTAGTTGTTGTTTAGTTTCCCCGATGGAAACATCTGGACAGTCCTCGCTACACTGGACTGCATAAACCACACCACCGAGCTTCTGTTTGGGTTCTGGATGGACCAGGTTCTGTCTGAGGGTGTTGTTGGGTTAAAGTTTACTGGGATGTCGTGTTTGGAGAAGATTCTTCTAGGTTTCTCTGGGACTCCTGCCACGTGTGGGATGGTGGTTGTCTTTCAATTAAATTAAAATTATTTCTATAGCGCCAAATAACGACCAGAGTCGTCTCAAGGACCTGCACACAGTAAACAACACAGGTCAGGTCATGAAGCCAGTCAGAAAAATGTTTCCTATAGAAGGAACCCAGCAGGTCGCATCGAGTCACTGACTAGTGTCAGAGTCTTTACAGCAATCCTCATACTAAGCAAGCATGCAGCGACAGTGGAGAGGAAAACTTCCTTTAACAGGAATAAAATGTATTATCTAGATGATTTTAAACCGTTTAACAGAACTAACTCTGTAATGATGGATGCTTGTGGAATGGAGTGTGAGGTGGTGTGATGTCAGTTCAGAACCGCCGTTCTGGAGAAGCGAGTCTGAGTGGGAGATGATGGTTTGATCCTAACTGATCAACGTTTGAACCGTGGTCACAAAACAACACGAGACGCCATTTATGTCACATCCACATACCCTTCAGTGAGACTCCCGTACAGATCAGGCTGCCAGGTCCACGACCCTCCTCTGGTACTGGAGCCGATGGAACAGCGTCGACAGCACGACAAACCGGTCTTTGGATAGTCTCCAGGTAAAAAGCGACAGGTGTTTCACAGCGTCAAAAGGGGACCCTCCTTGGGTCAGCGAGTTCAGCTTTTATTCTGAAGGAACCGTTGCTTTGTTGATAACAACGGCAGGTTTTCCCAACTTGGCAGTTCTAGCTTAAAAAGGGAAGTATAGATGGTCGGTCCATACTTCAGTTAGCACGCGGTGAACTTCAGGGGATCTTGAGAGCTGGCTGAATACTGAACTCAAAATGGCGTTGGGCTGTTTTATTAATCTTGATGTTAATGATTCTGGACGAATCACAGCTGACAGATTAAATAAACACCACAGAGACTCGCCACGCTTCAGACGTGAAGGTTCTGATTGGATTCGCGACAGGAATGTGTCATGTGATTATTTACGTTAGTGTATCAGCGTGACTAGTGGCTAGAATAAGTCATTTACTTATTAAAACATGTTAATCGTAACATTGTGATTTCACAGATCGGTCACATGGTTATTATTGAATAACAGGTGTTTTGATTAGCTTTTATTGAAAATAGTTCTTTGGCTTTTATTAAAAGAAAAGAAAGGAGTCTTCATCTTCTGTCTTCATCGCTGGGATGTAAACAGTTCAGAAGTGAATGCATGACCTTGAGGCTGTTTCATGCACTCTGGCACTGCGTCAAAGGGACTGTGGAACAGCTCCTTCATCACGTTACAACCTCCAGAGGATCCTGGCTCAGTACAAGCAGCCATCCACCACGACTCACTGGGGATGGAGAAGACAGAGCACACACACACACACACACACACACACACACGTACGTACGTGCATGTGTGTGTGTGTGTGTGCTCTCAGGTGAAAACAACATCCTGATGAAGAAGCTCTGCAGCAGAAATCAGACACGTAGATGTGTTTGCTGCTACTTGGTGGCGAGTGACTCGTGTTAGCTCATCTCCGCTCAAGTGCAGAGCAGACGGTGCAGACGTCCACCTACCCAACTTCACCTTGCCCTGATCGTTGAGCAGGATGCATCATAAACTCCCTATCTCAATCTAATTCCCAAATAGTTTCAGTCTAGGTCACACCTTCCTGCATCTACTCAACACAATGCCTCCCTCTCAGTAGAGGCCAGCGACTCATCGGGGTAGAGAGGAGGGGTACTCAGAGTAAATAACTACAGACTGCTACAGCTTAAAAGCATGACTCTCCATATGCAGGCTTGACAAAGCTCCTCAGATGAGAAGTGAAACGTCTTCAAGAAACCAAAGATGTCCAGTCGCCCTAATTTGAACCCGTATGGATTAGACTTTATTGTTTGATGGTAGAACCACAACACTGAAGCTGTTTTTCTCTGTTTCTACGGATCCAGACCCGCCAGCCTTACCAGTCCAGTTAGATGACAGCCTGTCACACGTGATTCCTCCTGAACTTCCTCCTAAAGACTTCAGAAGACGGAAACCTCTGTCAAAGGTAAAAAAAGAAAAAAGAATGGGAATATTGAGAAAAAGGTACTTTTATACAATTTGGTGTTTTAGATTATAAAAGACAAAAACAGGAGAAAAATGCAGCAGAAATGTGTTCATATTTAAATGTGTCACTTTTTAACCCCACCCTTTTATTTTGCTAAAATAATGTTTTTGAATTTTCTCATCCATCCATCCATCCATCCATCCATCCATCCATTTTCGGCCGCTTATACAGAGTCGGGTCGCGGGGGCAGCAGCCTAAGCAGGGGGGCCCAGACTTCCCTCTCCCCAGCCACTTGGGCCAGCTCCTCCAGGGGAATCCCAAGGTGTTCCCTGACCAGGTGAGAGACATAGTCCCTCCACCGTGTCCTGGGTCTACCTTTAGGTCTCCTCCCGGTTGGACGTTCCCGGAAAACCTCACCAGGGAGGCGTCCGGGAGGCGTCCTGACCAGATGCCTTGGCTTTAGAGGAGCTGATTCTCATCCCAGCTGCTTCACACTCGGCTGTGAACCGCTCCAGCGAAAGCTGAAGATCACGTTCTGATGAAGCCAACAGGACCACATCATCTGCAAAAAGCAGAGACCTGATCCTCAGGTCACCAAAACGGATGCCCTCCACACCTTGGCTGCACCTAGAAATCCTGTCCATAAAGGTTATGAACAGAATCGGTGACAAAGGGCAGCCTTGGCGGAGTCCAACTCTCACTGGGAACGAGCCCGACTTACTGCCGGCAATGCGGACCAAGCTCTGACACCGGTCATACAGGGACCTAACAGCCCGTATCAGAGGGCCTGGTACCTCATACTCCCGGAGCACCCCCCACAGGGCCCCCCGAGGGACGCGGTCAAACGCCTTCTCCAAATCCACAAAACACATGTAGACTGGTTGGGCAAATTCCCACGCACCCTCCAGGATCCCCCTAAGGGTATAGAGCTGGTCCAGTGTTCCACGGCCAGGACCAAAACCACATTGTTCCTCCTGAATCTGAGGTTCAACAATCCGACGGACCCTCCTCTCCAGAACCCCTGAATAGACCTTACCAGGAAGGCTCAGGAGTGTGATCCCCCTGTAGTTGGAACACACCCTGCGGTCCCCCTTTTTAAATAAGGGGACCACCACCCCGGTCTGCCAGTCCAGTGGAACTGCCCCTGATGTCCACTTTGCACCAGGGTCCATCTGGGCTCATCAGACCAGTTTTAATAACGCGTTGGACAGTTCTGAACCCAGTTTTAGTCGTTTAGATGTTTTCTCTGCTTGATGCCGATGATCGGACCCTTCTCACACAGACTAACATCTTCTCCACCACCAGATGTGTCTTTCCACCTGGTTGTTTAAGAAATGAGAAGCAGCATGAGAGGCAAATGGTGGTCACACCAGATACTGACCGGTTCTGAGTCCCCAGACCCCCAATAAAGCAAAAAACACTTTCCAGGGTGGCCTTTTATTGTGGGCAGTATAAGGTACACCTGTGCACTACTCATGATGTCAGATCAGCATCTTGATGTGGCCCACCTGTGAGGTGGGATGGATTATCTCAGAAAAGCAGAAGTGCTCACTATCACACATTTAGACTGATTTGTGAACAATGTTTGAGAGAAATGGTGATGTTGTGTGTCTGGAATGAATTTTAGATCTTTAAGTCCATCTCATGAAAAATCAGAGCAGAAACAAAGGTGTTGCGATTATATTTTTGTTGAATGTAAATATGTATAGATACATATATATTTTTCTGGAAACTGGAAATTATTAAAAATGGACCTGGTCAGTTGGTCTCTCAACTCAATTGACAAAATTTTTTCAACGATGAGAACGGGAGAAGGGGCTCCCGGTTGCCCCTCTGGGACAGAGCCCATTGGGTATATCATGGACTCCTGGAAACAGTGGGACCTGATCTGCCTCTCTCAGCTGTCTGTAGAGGATTCTGAAGACGTCTGGATACTCGTGGTGTTGGTGTTGGGATTCCTGCTATTTGGCCTGAGCCGTTACCTGGCTTACTGGAAAAGTAACGAGCTTTCGAGGAATATTGGCTCAATCCCCGAGCTCAGGGATGGATTACACCGAGCTCAGGGATGGATTACACCGAGCTCAGGGATGGATTACACCGAGCTCAGGGATGGATTACACCGCGCTGTGAACGCACAAACTCATATAATTGTCGAGATGAGTCGTAAGCTTGGAACTTTGGCTGAGATTCAGGCTCTGGCACAGAAGGAGAGAGTTGACGGATCAGCGTCAGTGTCTTAGTCTTAGTCCAGAGTCCCCTCTTAGACCTCGTTCTCCAGTGTCCTCTATCCCTCGACTTCCACAGTCCCGGCTCCTGGTTCCCCACCGCCTGTCCCCCAGACTCTTCTGGCCCTCCTTCCTAGTTCCCCCTCCTCCCGCCCTGCTCTGGTTTCCTGTGGGCGTCTTGAATCTGCCCTCGGGGGGGGGGGGGGGGGGGGGGTCTGTCATGACTCCCATCCTTCACCCTCCTCTGCCTCCTCATTTAACCTTCATTCAGCTCACCTGGTCCCTTCACCAAGCTCCTGACAAGCCCTGTTTTCCCTGGCAACCACAATCAACTCCATCCACTTCACCTGCTCCTGACTCTTCAGCTCATCTCACGCACCTGCTGCCCTTACTATATAAGAACCATCCAGCTATCCAGTCTCTGCCAGATTATTGAAAGCCCTGCAAGTAAATTCTCCAGCCATCCACCCTGCCTGATCTCTGCCTCCGGACCTCGTTTTTCTCCTGACCCCTGCCATTCACGCTGCCTGCCATTACGACCTTCGCCTGTCTCCAGCCTCGCCCACCTGGTACTCTGCATCAAATAAAAGACGTTTTTTTTTCTACTTTTTTTCCCTCCTTTTACCGTGTCCTGTCTGGCTGTGAAGCAAGCAGAACTGATGTCTGAATGCTGGTAACAAGCCTTACAGATTTACTCTCAGGTGGAGCATCAAAGCGTCTGCTTTTAATGTCACGCCTGATACTTAAAACTTTATTGTTATTGTTGTTGAATGCTTTGTAATTCCGACCAGACACGGAGTCAGAGGTGAAAGAGAAAGGAAAAGAAAAGGTGGGGAGAGGGGGGGGGGGGGGGTTCCACAAAAATAAACAATAATGAACAAGAGTCTGCTTCTAGACCTGCAGACAAAGACAAAAAAATGGGACACAACAACAATACAACAAGATCTAGCTATCACTGCGTCAACTTGAAGAAGAAATATATAATCAACATTGTTTAACTGAAGAATCACGATAATAAATCACAGTGCATTAAGTGCCCACCATAGTCTTAAGACCTGTGTTTAACATGCCCAAGTCCATACTTTTGAGAGCACCATGTGAGCACCTGTGTGTGTACACGCGCTTGTTTATGTAAGGTTTCTCTATAGGAGCGTCCAACAGAGAGTGTGAGGGGCCACAGATCCGCCCCCCAAAGATGTGTAGGAGACGGGGGGAGCTCCAAGTCCCAGAGATCCAGGAGCTGCCCCAGAACACAGGAACCCCAAAGAGACTGCAACCAGAAAGGCCCCCGCCCCCCTCGAGAGGCACAGAGGATCGCCCCGGGGGGCCACAACCAGCAGCCGGCAGAGTCCCGGGAGATATCAGCGGCAAGCCCACAGGCCCGCCCGCAGCCTCCCACCCCCTAGCCGGCCGAGCCCGGGACCCAGCGACCCGGGACCCAGGGGCGACCACCCCCGCCGGGGACCCAGCAGAGCCCAGGGACCCAGACCCCACCAGGCAGCCACCGGGATCTAACAGGCAGATGCCAAAATCTTAAAACCCCCAGACCCGGTTGCCCCGAACACTCAGGCAGACCAAGGCACAAGCCCCACACCAGGTGTGGCAGGGGGAGGGGGACAGAGATCTATATCATCAAAAGAAGTCCCAGGAGAGGGAAGGACCCAAAGGCCCCACCTGACATATACAGTCATACACAAACACAGTCACACACTCCCTCCCTCATGCTCACACATGCACATACAACCCAAGACTTACAAAAATGCACGCCGGACACCCACTCATGCTCCCCATACACACCCTATTCACTCTGGTCCCGGTACTGCTGCACATGGGGTACAACCATCACCGGTAACCAGAGTTTGACCCTTTCTGCTGGGGTGCTGATGAGCAGGCCCCCCCGCCCAACGCTGAGCACAGCAACCCACCACCCCAGACCCCAACCAGACGGCCAGATCTCCCTCCTAGCCTCCAGCCCCAGGAAGCCAAGCAACAACAGAGGTGGCTAAGACCCCTAGTCTCCCTCCGCCTGCTCTAATATAGTGTTGTTTTTATCTACTTTTCTGTGTTTGGCGTCTTCACGGGTCTTCCGAGTTCTGTTCGTGACTTATATATATGTATTTATACATACATTTATATATGTATGTATAAATACATATATATATGTATGTATTGTGATGGGCAGAAGACGGAAGCTGCCGGGCTCTGAGGGTGTGGTGATTGGACACCAGCTGGTCCTCGGACCAGCTGGTGTCCAATCACCACACCCTCAGAGCCCGGCAGCTTCCGTCTTCTGCCCATCACAATATATACATACATATATATGTATATATATATATATATACATATATATGTATATGTGTGTAGTGTGTGTGTATATGTATAAAAATGAGATCCATCCATCCGTGTTGAAAAAGCAGCAACAAGTCCCATTTATTCTGTTTTGTTCTCAGGAGTTTCCAGAGTGTCCCAGTCCTGTCTTGAGAAAAGCCCCGGTAAGTTCTTCTATTGAGTTTAATGTATTTTACTCACATGGTCAGAATGGCTTTTTACTAAATGGAAACTGCTACCCAGGACAACGTTCTCATACCTTTCTTCTGGCTCCGTCTCCAGGTTTTCTTTAAAAAGATATTTCATGGCTGTCCTCTTAAAATAAACTGCTCTACAACCTGGGAAATCCCCGCCTCCAAAGGTTGCAACTGGAGTCAAATCCCAACATACTTCACGTACAAATAAAAACATTCTGAGTGTTTCCTGTTTTTCCTTCAGAGCACCATCTGATCCTGGGAGCCGAGGAAGGGATCTACACCCTGAACCTCCTCAGCTCCGATGCCCCAATGGAGCTGGTAGGTTCTCCAACTTCTGCAAAGCCTAAAGCTTTTGTGATGAGTTGGTTTAAGTTCATGGGCGTAATTGTTTTTTTTGAGGGGGGACATGTCCCCCCCACTTTTTCCAAAGTCAAGTTTTGACCCCTGCACTTTTTACCATCCAAAAACAACATTACGCTATATTAAATGGACACTGGTTGAGCTCTAGGACCAAGCGGAAAACAACCGTTTGGGTTGAAGCCTGCTTCCCATGAGAGCGTACTGTAAAGATACTTCGTTTATGCGAGGCCAGCAGAGGATGGTGTCGCCCTCTGCTGGCCTCGCTCTCCTCGCCGATGACACAGTCCCATGGGCGATCCAGTGTGTAGACCCCACCGTCTCTGTTCATGGCTGTGTCCACATCTGCTTACTTCTACCGCGTCCTTAATTCATCTTTTGAAGTTTGTTTTTCGGTGTTTATGATCCTTGTTTTCTGCTTTACTGAAAAAATAATAGCAACAATGAAAAACACGACATAAACACACAACAGCTAGAAACAGACTAGTACACCCGAAGGACAAGCTACCAGCAGGACATACGTGTGCAGCCGTGTAGAAATCCCATCACTCTGCAGTAAAACATGCAACCGGACACCACCTCAATCTCACCTCAGATCACACACGGGTCTCTGCTGCCCGCGGATAACCGGAGAAGGAAGTGATGCCACCATTAGTGGCTAGCTCTGAGGAAGATGGTGCACCTGGAGAAAGTGCGCTGTAAGGCTTCGCGTGCGTGATCCACAGGTGTGCAAAAAGCTGCCGACCTGAGACATCATCATCATCGTCGATCGCTACGCATGCTTGGATGCTGGTCGCTGTGATCATTTGTTCAAAAAACTTTCAGACAAACAAAGAATTATTTTAAATGAATTTACGTTAATTGCTGCTTTGTCTAAAACACTCAAAGCATCATCTAATCGTCCTAAAACGAACTCATTTCATTAGAAAGTACATATTTTCAGAAAAGGAACCTTCTCTCCCACAGCAAGGGGTCGTGGTTGTTACTCCGCAGATTAAGGGCAACCGACGCACTCGCTCCCCTGGTCGGGATCACACAGTGGAAGGGGGCAAGTGTTGGGACTGGGCCTTCAGCTCCCCGTTGGAGCGGCCAGCTGCCATCTTAGATCACCCACAGTGAAGGTGCTTACCCCGCTAAAAACACGCCATCAGACTTTTTTTTTTTTTTTTACTAAATTAGACATTTGGTACGGCATGCTCATTAAAATATAAATATAATTAAACATAATAAAATATAAAATCCCATCGGGGTGCTTGAAAAGTCACTAGTAATCCCGCATGATCTGTCTCAACAGCACGCCGGTCGTTGTAGCCGTAGGCGGCGCAGAAGCGGCCATAGCTGCTCACTCTGGAGTAGGAAACTCATCCACTGGTATGCTCTCCAGCGCCCAGTGCGGCGTATTCATGTCTGTGGCCTTGTGTGCCTCAGAGCCGTTAAAGTCAGAGATGCTGACTGGGCCAAAATATCTCCAGTTCTACCTAGCAACCAGATATGATTGGCTTTTCAGCGGTAGCTCCGGGGTGTTTTCCCAGCACCCCAGGAGGGAAAACAGCGAGTCTGTTGGAAGAAACTCGCTGTTTAATGAGACTTCTGGTGGAAACGAGGAGTGAACCATTCAGATTGCAAGTAAGCACAGAATTATAATGAATACATGTAGAAATACTGTAGTTTGATTTCCTGTTTAGATATTTTACCCCCTTCACGCCCTAGCGCCCCCTAGGGATGAGTCGCCATTGCAAAAAGGATTTCTCCTGAAAGATGCTAGAAATGTCTTTGTTCTCTTCCAGTTGTATCCCGGGAAATGTACGTGGGTCTACGCCATTAATAACGTCCTCATGTCCATATCAGGTAAATATGAGCTCCTTCATTCTGTAGCTATGGAAACAACATGGCTGCCAGTAATTAAAAGCGCTGGTCATACTGGATTAGGGTTAGTGTTTGTAGATTTAAGGGTACTGTAGCATCGTTCTGTGGAACGTTTTATTCTTCTGAGGCGGTTTTCAGACCTCCAACTCAGTCATTTCTTCTTGTTTGTGTACGGCTTTGGTTCGTCTCCTGGTCGATGGAGAGCTGTAGAAATTTGTTGATGATCACGATGTTTCTCATAGATCTGCCTTGTTGGGAGGTATCACGAGCTCTCAGGTGTGTGTGTGTGTGTGTGTGTGTGTGTGTGTGTGTGTGTGTGTGTGTGTTCACAGGTAGCTAACCAAGCCTAGCCATCAACGGTGGTTCTGTCTGCAGCGTTTGAACTTAGCCATTCGTCTGCTGGTTGAACAGCAGGAACCTGTTATTAGGAACCTTTGTCTGAAATATCAACTAGCTCATAGTTTCTTGTTTCACACTTCTGGCGTTGTCCAGTTGTTGCTACTGGTTCAGTCCACACTGGCACCCGGCTGCAGCTTCCACCTACAGCAGGGGCCCTCAACCTGGGCCTGCAGGGCCAACTGCTGTACCTCCTCACCACAGCCTGTGGTGCAAGCTGACATCACGTCAAAGTGCACACACTGATCACTGACGTGGTACAGCATGTCCATAAAAGATACCACAATTCAAGATGGCGCATGACTTTGGGGCGTTGACCACAGTTCATGGACACAAGTACGTCACATTCCACGTTAATTAGGATTTGTAGGGTGAGGGTGAGGGTGAGGGTTAGGGTGAGGGTGAGGGTTAACCCTAACCCCAGCTCAGACGCTGGTGAGCTGATGCACAGGAAACGAGCAGCAGTAGTACACACTGGGGCTTTAATGAAGTTCCAGAGGGAGAACAGAAATGATTGTTTGGACTCTGATTCTGTGTTTCCAGGGAAATCTTCTCAGCTTCACTCTCATTCGCTGAAGGAGTTATATGACCAGGCTCGGAGAGACCAGAGGATGGTTCCCTTACCGACCCACAGGCTGCTGTCCAGGTACACGCCTCCCTTACTCTGGATTTTGTTGTTTTCTCGGCACAAACAGGTGGCAGTAAAAAGGTATTAAAAGCTTTTCCTGCTTTGTTCAGAAAAGGCGCGATAACATGTAAAGTACCCGATACCAAGGGCTGCAGGACCTGCACAGTTGGTGAGAACAAACACGTCACCAAACCTCCGAGGATTAGATGTGGAACGTTCCTGCTGAGAGCACACCTGTTGCTTTGTTTGAAGGAGAGAAGCAGCAGCAGGGCTGCAGGTTCCTGTGCTGTGCTCTGGACTCCAGCGTGGTTCTGCTGCAGTGGTACGAGCCCATGCACAAATTCATGCTCATCAAGGTATGGAGCTCTAAAAAGCACACCCCTCACCTCACATCAGATAGTCAACCAAAGGACCACGGTCAGGCGTGTCCTGGCTGAACCAGACTAACCCTAACCCTGAAGACAGAACCGGGCCCAGCTAAAGGCTCGGTGCTGCAGGAGTCTGACTCACCTGGTGTGCCTCAGCTCGACAGACAAGAACATGGCCTCAAACACAAACTTTAACCTTTAATCTCATAACATCAACAATTAAGGCTTCCTGTAACCAGAATGAATGAATGAATGAATGAATGGTTAGATCTGAGGAAATGGGGTTTGCATTTGTCTTGGTCTGGGACTGGAACTATCAAGCCTGCTGCCGTCCTTCTGCAGCATTTCGACTTCCCTCTGCCCAACCCTCTGCGAGTGTTCGACATGGTGGTGATGCCGCAGCACGAGTATCCCCTGGTGTGCATCGGTGTGTCCCGAGGGTCCAGCCCCAGCGTGCCAGTCAACGTGGAATACATCAACCTGAACTCCAACTCATCCTGGTTCTTCAAGGCCGAACAGGGTAGGCTGACGGGTTTACATCACCTAAAGGAGACGCTGCACGTTTAACCTGCTGCTCATGTGTTTGTTTACAGAGAACCCCTGTTTGGATGTAGTTCAGGTAAACCAGGTGAACATGAACGCGCTGCTCGTGCTCATGGACAGTAAGTGTCTCGAACTCCTACATTAAAGGTAGGGGAGGAGGTCCTGAGCACAACACATGTGGAAAAACACAGTTCAGAGGTCCAATCCCCAAGCCAGGCGCTGCAGATACCGTCCACCATAAAAACACGTCATCTTACCCATCAAGGAATGGAGCCACCGTGGCACAGGGGTTGTATCGACTAGTCGACTTCACCGCTCTATAGTGACTTGTTATGCCTGTCGTCGACTAGTCGCTGTCACGTGATAAGGACCGGCAAGATGCAGTCCTGGGAAAAGACAGCAGCCTGCTGTCAGCAGGTGACAAGCTCCTGCACGTCGGGAGGCAACGCGCTGTGCCAGAGCGTCGGTACTGACACCCGCCGTAAAATGGACATTTAACCAAATTGTGACGTTTACCCTCTTGCAATTTAACCTTCCCCTCACCCCCATCCTAACCTTAACCAGCGTGCGCATGCAAAGCTCTGATTGTTGACGCGCTCCAGACATCTGCGTCCTGAGCACGGCCACAGTAACATTATCAAATCAGGTGTCGCCACCTCAAAAACTAATTTAGCACGCGATCGTTCATGTCGGCTCATTTCCTTTTATGTTTTCTGTCTTTTATTGTTTTATTTGTGCCTGATGCGTTTCGCTGCTGTGGATCAGGACGCATCACCTGTTTTGTCCTCGGTGACGCACCTCACCGATGAGGCCGGCGAGCACTCCGCTGTTTTAGCGGTCAGTAGATCTTTTAGAACTGCAGTTCAAAGGTAACTCATGAGGTGAATATATATGAACCCAGGTAGCAGTTTCTCTTTAGGACTGAGAGGAGATGCAGGAAGATAATAAACAGGCAGGACAGAAAAATTGTCAAATAAAAACAAGTTAGTTTTTGTACCTGCTGGTTGCAACAAACAGACACCATTGAAGGTAATCAGAAGTGAGGAACAGAAAATGAAATAATTATTTTAATGTTTAGAGCAGCAGGAACTCCGAGAGGCTGCAGGCGCATCAGTGAGTTTGTTGCCGCTGCGCAGGGGGAGGGGGGAGGGGGCTGAAGCAGGGGGAGGGGCTAAAGCTGGGGGGGGGGAGGGCTGAAGCTGGGGGAGGGGGGGGAGGGCTGAAGCTGGGGGAGGGGCTGAAGCTGGGGGAGGGGGGGGGCTGAAGCTGGGGGAGGGGGGAGGGCTGAAGCTGGGGGAGGGGGGCTGGGGAAGAGGGCTGAAGCAGGGGGAGGGGCTGAAGCTGGGGGAGGGGGGAGGGCTGAAGCAGGGGGAGGGGGGGGGCTGAAGCTGGGGGAGGGGGGGCTGGGGAAGAGGGCTGAAGCAGGGGGAGGGGCTGAAGCTGGGGGAGGGGGGGGCTGAAGCAGGGGGAGGGGGGGGGGCTGAAGCAGAAACTACCGTTGTTAAAAGACGTGTTTAACCTAGAAAATGTGGGCACAATTTTAATTGTTAAGAACTCCAGCGAACCAACCTGCTTCAGGTGTATGACGTCATCAACGACTAGTCAAAGTGGACGTGGTTTTCATTACTTGACTGTCGACTTTAAAAATAATCAAGTCACTTAACCCTACCGTGGCATCAGAACAGCACGGCTCGCCGACTATTCGTTCCCTACATCCTTGTGGTTCCTAGTGTGCTGTTCCTGTCTGAACATGTGACATCAGCCACTGTCAGTCACTGATTGGCTCGGGGTGAAGTTTACATTTGCGCCACTAAACTGAACAATCGCCTTAAGTAGATGCTTCGTTGTTTTATGCACGTAAACGCGTTCGTCTGTCTGAGGGCGAACTGCCTCTGATCCAGCTGCAGCTCCCTCGAGCCTCTACTGGTTCTGGTAGATGGTCTGTAGTTGTATAGCGCCTGCTAGGGTTCTGCTACCCCCCAAGGCGCTTCACAACACAGTCGTTCATTCACACACTGGTGGTGATGAGCTACGATGTAGCCACAGCTGCCCTGGGGCGCCCTGATGGAGGCGAGGCTGCCGAGCACAGGCACCACCGCTCCCTCTGACCACCACCAGCAGGCAAGCTGGGTTAAGTGTCTTGCCCAAGGACACAACAGCAGAATTCTCTGGTCAGAGTTGGGATCAAACCTGCAACCTCCCGCTTACTGGACGACCGCAGTACCTCCTGAGCTGCTCCTTTGGTTGGACACTCACCTACTGGAAGGGATGGCAGAAGCAGTCTTGCGAATGTAAACCAGGATGAAGGCTCTCGGTGCTCCAGCATGTGCGTCCAACTCCATCTGCATCTACTGTGGTCGTTCCACAGGTTCCTGTCTGCCTGCAGCTGCTTGTGGGTTCAGAGTCTGACCGATGTTCAACATCAGCACTGTAGTCGTGTTTCTGCGAGACATACAGACGGCCTCTACGATGATCACACACAGCTGGGAGAGAAAACCCGCGACGCTGAGGCGAGCTGCGTCGCCCCTCGTTGTATCGAGCCGTTCTCGGCTGAGTGGAAACCAGTTTTTAAACGCAGCACCGACGTTGTATGCTAGCTAGCCTGGCTCTGGCTTGGCTCCCTGTTCAACTGCTCCGAGCCGAGAACAGGTCAGGGTTCGGGTTTCATGTGAAACATCTCCCAGCCCTCCTTTAATGAAAATCTCATCAATTCACAAGTGGAGCCAATCTGATCCAAGATGGCCGCCCTAATGCCAAAATGTATTTAACGCCGTTAGCTTAACAGATCTTAGCTTGTCCCCGTCCACCAGGACACCAAAGCTGTCTCTGCTCTAGGGTCCGTGCAGATGGTTGGTCTGAATGGAGAGCAGAAGCTGAACAAACATGAAGCCACCTTCTCCTATGATGTAGAATCCGTAGGTGAGAACAAGCTTCATGTGATTGTTGGCCTTGTTCGTGTCTTCAGTAGCTTTCTTCACAAGCTCACGACAGGTTCTTGTCCCATGCTCAGTGTATGCTGAGGACACGCTTTTGGTGGTTTGGCGTCACGGCTGGCAGAGGAGAGGAAAAGGTTTCACTGAAGTGCTGGAGGAAAAAACGGACAAGAAGAAGGTCTACAGGATGGTGAAGTCAGACAGGTACGAGGTGCAGCGAGCTGTCCGCAGAATCAGACTGCACAGAAAACCCTGGGAGCATGTGAAACAGTGAGGTGTTTAGAAACCATCACTTCATTTATCTTACCAAGATGACATGAACCATAGGAACCTTGATCCAGACAATCAGTGGTTGACCTTCTCCTTGCAGGACGATTGTTTTGGAAACCCATCAGACCACGGATCAGACGGGTCTGTCCAACCTGTATCTCCTAGAAAAAGCAGAGACCTATGTCCAGCTGCCCTGACTCTCCTGCACATCCACAGAAAACCTCTCGGCATCGACGTTTGTCCTTTTCAGCCGGTGGATGAAGTGATGGCGGGCGTTGTGGCTCCTGTCCCTCCGTCAGAGGGAGCTCGCTCTTATTTATGCTCTTTAAACTTTGGGTGAAAAAGACCTGCTAATGAAACCAAGAGCAGCGTCCCAGCGATACGGTCACTGCAGCAGCAGCTGTGGCTTCAGGAAGAAACCACGCTGAAGCGCCGCGGCTGCTCAAGTTGAGCTGTGTGACGGGAGTTTGTTGCACCCACCGCTGCTGTCGCTACACTCTAATAAAGTTCATTTACACAAGATGAAGTGAGATGTACTGATTTTGGAGGCAACATTTGTTAGACAGTGTGGTTTATTTTGGTCTTGGCAAGCTCCGATGCTAACTCCGATGCTAACTCCGATGCTCAGTTTAAGATGAAACACCGCTCACACACTCACCGTCTACTCCCTTACTTCCTCAGTGGGGTCTCAGCAAGCTGCTGTTCATCTGCAGATGTCATCGGGGCAGAGGTGAGGGACAGGAACACACATCTAGGGACAATCAGTTAAGCTGACAAGATGTTTTCAGCCTGTGCGTGGAAACCAGAGCACCCTGAACTTCATGCAGAAAGGTTGCAGCTGGGATTTAACCCTGTGACCTTCCACTGAAACCAGTTGTGCCACCATGCAGCCCTGGCATCAAAGTACGAATACTAAGGAACAAAATGCTTTAAGGCCATTTGGAAATGGGTTCCAGTGTAAAACTCATAGAGCTGTACTTCCTGAACAGCCTCTGTCCAGAGAAATAGTTATAGGTCCTTCTGGATTGGTAAGCTAACGGCTAGGCCAAACTCAGCCAATCCTAACTGGGTATTGCTCATCTCCAAATCTACTGCAAACATTAATCGTTAAATCTTCACACTGCTGTCCGTTTAGCATCACACGATTCTTACATGGAGTTGTGTTTGTAACGAGCAAAACTCACCTGAAAATGACCCTAAATGCACCAGGTAGGATGGTTAGATCACAAAGAACTGGTGATTGATGGATTTCAGTTGGACTGTGTGGAATACTAATAGCTCATGTCCGTTGCTCACAGATTAAATCTGGTCATCAGTTCAGGCACGCCAGAAGTCCGCTTCAGCTTGTTTCTCCACATATTTTAATCTTTTATGTGGGTGCCCCCCCCCCCCCCCCCCCCCCCAGTGCAAACTACGAACATTCTTTTCAACATTTCTTTTCTACTTCCTGTGTTTTTCTGTACTGAGTAGCAAACCAAGCTACGCTATGATTTTATTGGCCGTCAGCCTTTGGAGGTCTGAGGGTAAGTGATAGTTTAGGTCTGGTGTGGCGCTGTAACAGAGAAAAAACGACACACAGCTTGCAGGTTTATTCTTTTGTGTACTAATCACTGCACTCTGTCACCAAAATGACGGGTGCTCCCCCTAGCGGTTGGACGTGGAATAGCACTGAAACGACTGAAATTACACTAGACTGAAAAAACAAAAGTTGCAGATATAATCACAAAAAATGAGTTCTCTACTTGTACTAAAATATTACTGTCATTTATAACTTGTTTTTCACCCCACTACATTTTAGTAATCTGAGATTAGCACAGATTAGATGAGTGTGCCCCCCGTCCCCCCCCCCCCCCCCCCCCCCCCCCCCCCCCCGGCCCACCGTGACGCTGTTTACGCAGCTGGAGGACCGGAGGCAGGGAGCAGAGCCGGTGGAGGAAGATGCTCACGGCGGCTCAGAGGTGCTGCCTCCGCGGGTTTGTGCAGAGGCGGTGCGGGACTAAAATGCACCGGAGCGGACCGGATGTTCTGGTTCTGGTCGGGCTGGCTGGCTGAGTAGAAGTTTTTGGATCCGTGTTACCATTTCCAGGTCAGAAGCGACGTTTCCTGTGCGGCTGGTTTGCACCAACATGGCCGGAGATGGCGGCGCTCTGAAGGATATCAATGAGATTAAGTCCCAGTTCCGGACCCGGGAGGGCTTCTACAAGCTGCTCACCCTCTCGGACTCGCAGCAGCGGGGCGGGCTGCCGCGAGGTCCGTCCGCCGGAGCCACGCTGGGGCCCGGGTCAGCCGGACCGATCCCCGGCGGAGGGGTCGGGCTGCTGCAGGGGCCCGGGGCCGCCGCCTCCTCCTCCAATGCCGCAGCCAACTCCTCTCCGGCGGGCTTCCTGCCGCCCGTCCGGGTCTCCATGGTGAAGCTGCAGCCCGAAGACCCGAGCGAGGAGTCGGAGCGGGTGTGCTTCAACATCGGCCGGGAGCTGTACTTCTACACCTACACCAACATCAAGAAGGTCGGTGCTCCTACTAGCCTTAGCCTAGCATGCTAACGTCACGGTTCCTCCTGAGGCTCGGGTTCGGTTCGGTTCGGGTCTGGAGCCTCCTGTAGCTGATGCTGGCTCACCCCATCACATGGGTTAGGGTCAGTAGACCCGGAACCGGGTGGTTATCTTCATTAGCTGTTCTCTTGTACCAGGAAACCTGACTCAGGACCACACCTGGTACTGACAGGTTCTGAATGATGATGTCACTAATCAAGGTGAGAGGAACAGGTAACGGAACCAGATTAGTCGTGAAGCTGAGCCACACCTCACCTGGAGAGGGTTGGGGTAGAACCAGCCACGCTCCAGGATACTGACCCAACACCACCACTGGAACCATGGAGATCCCAAAGACTTGTGGGAAAATCTTCTGTGGACTGAAGCTGAGTCCCGTCCAGCCCCTCCTCTGAACTTGAGACAGTTCTCCACACCTTCATCTCCTCACGCTTAGACTACTGTAACTCTCTTTTCACGTGTCTGAGCAGAACCTCCCTGAACCGTCTACAGGTGGTTCAGAACGCCTGTGCTCGCCTTCTGACCAAGTCCTCCAAACACACCCACATCACCCCGCTTCTCCTATGACCGTGTCCCCAGAGGCACCCTGTGGGGGGCGCTCCCTTCAGTCCCTGAACCAGAGGAGTGGCAGTTGGTCCTCCTAGCTTCATCCAGCTCTGACCTTCAGCTCTTGCTGGGGAGGTTCGCGGCCGAGTGTGAAGCTGCTGGGATGAGGATCAGCACCTCCAAATCTGAGACCATGGTTCTCCACCGGAAAAGGGCGGCTTGCCCTCCGGGTCGGGAGAGAGGTCCTGCCTCAAGTGGAGGTGTTCAGGTATCTCGAGGTCTTGTTCACGAGTGAGGGTAGGAGGGAGCGGGAGATCGACGGGCGGACTGGTTCAGCGTCTGCAGTGATGCCGACGGTGGACCGGTCTGTTGTGGTGAAGAGGGAGCTGAGCCAGAAAGCCAGGCTCTCCATTTACCGGTCGATCTACCGCCCAGTCCTCACCTGCGGTCACGAGCTCTGGGCGATGACCGAAAGAACAAGATGGCGGATACAAGCGGCCGAAATGAGTTTCCTCCGCGGCGTGGCCGGGCTCAGCCTTAGGGAGAGGGTGAGGAGCTCGGACGTTCGGGAGAGACTCGGAGTAGAGCCGCTGCTCCTCCATATCGAGAGGAGCCAGTTGAGGTGGTTTGGGCATGACCTGCTGGCAGGAGGCCCCCCGAGTCGACCCAGGACTACCTGGAGGAAATGCATCTGTAGGTTGGCAAGGGAACGCCTGGGTGTCTCAGCTGAGGAGCTGGAGGACATGGCCGGGGAAAGGGTGGTCGTGTGATGGTCTGGGGCAGCTCTGCTGCTGCAGGACCTGACCTTTGACCCCTACGGTGTGGGGGATATATTCTGACATTCTAAAGTACATCTACTGTGGTTTTGCTGTTGGGGGGCTGCAGCAGTTAGAATCTGGAGCACAGATGAACCGGGTAGTCGTGTTTCTTTCATCTTCGCCGGCTCGCCAAACTAAAATCTGTCCTGAACCAAAACGAACTTCAGTCGTTGTTCGTGCTTTTGTAACGTCTCGTCTGGACTATGCCAACTCTCTTATACGGTGTTCCCTGCTCTTCAGTGGCACGCCTCCATTTGGTTCAGAATGCCGCCGCAAGGTTTCGTACGGGCATAGACCGACGGCACCAGATCACCCCTGTTCTGGCAAATTTACACTGGTTTCCAGTTCGGTTTGGGATTAAGTTCAAAGTTCTCCTGTTGGTTTACAACTCTATCCATGAAACGGCCCCCTGCTGTTTGGCACATCTTCTGAGTCCCTATGCTCCGGCGCCAACCCTGAGGTCCTCTGACAGCACCTTCTGCTTGTCCCTCCCGCCCGCCACACGGCCCGTGGCGAACGGGCTTTTTCAGTTTGAGCGCCTAAACTTTGGAACCAGCTCCCCCGACAGTCCGACTTGCCCCCTCCCTTCCCACTCTGCTCCCTGGCCTTCCCGGCTGGGACGGTTGAACCCTCCTCGTGTTTCCTGTTTGTTTATTTTTTACTAGATATTCTGTCTTGTACTGCACTGTGGTTGGCGTTGGCGCCGTTTAAATGTGCTTTATAAATAAAGGTTGATGATGACGATGGAGCAGAAGTTCGTTCATGTCAATAATCCAGCTGAAAATAATCTCTGAGACAGACTCAATCCAGATGTTTCAGCCGCTGTCTGTTCTAACTGTTTTGGTTATAGCTTACAGCTGACGAATCCAGAACACCTGCAGAGGGTTCCCGAGCCTTTAGATGGTGTCTCAGTCTGAGCTGCACGTTCTGGTTTAGTGTGCCACCGCTTTAGTCTAATCCAGAGCTGATGCGTTCAGGAACAGCGTGTTCATCACAGCCGTCTGAACTAGTGTTTGCAGAAACAAACAGACGAAGTCCTCTGAGCTGGATCTGGTTTCATCTCTTTAAACAAAAGAAGCGTTCGCCTCCTGATCCTCCTGGGACTGTGCTGATGACTCGCTCTGCTCCCTGCAGGCCGTAGACCTCAGCAAACCCATCGATAAGAGAATCTATAAAGGAACCCAGCCGACGTGCCACGACTTTAACCAGTACTCGGCTACGGCGGAGAGCGTGGCGCTCATCGTGGGTTTCTCCGCCGGTCAGGTCCAGTATCTGGACCCCATCAAGAAGGAAACCAGTAAGCTGTTCAACGAGGAGGTAGGAACACCTTTCCTCCTGTTTCTGTCATGCTTCTGATTTAAAAATGTCTGATTTCCTGATAAAAGGACCTTTTTCTAAAGCGCTGCGGGGAGAATCTTTACATGAAGATGTTTCTAACATCTCCTTCCTGTTTCCCAGAGGTTGATAGACAAGTCCAAGGTGACGTGTCTGAAGTGGCTCCCCAAATCGGAGAACCTGTTCCTGGCCTCCCACGCCAGCGGTCACCTTTACCTGTACAACGTGGACCACCCCTGCGGCACCACCGCCCCTCAGTACTCGTTGCTGCGGCAGGGCGAAGGCTTTGCCGTCTACGCCTGCAAAAGCAAGACGCCGCGTAACCCACTGCTGAGGTGGGCTGTCGGCGAGGGAGGCCTCAATGAGTTCGCCTTCTCTCCTGATGGCGTGCACGTGGCGTGCGTGGGCCAGGATGGCTGCCTACGCGTCTTTCACTTCGACTCCATGGAGCTGCAGGGGGTGATGAAGAGCTACTTTGGCGGACTGCTCTGCGTGTCCTGGAGTCCTGATGGGAAATATCTCGCCACTGGCGGTGAGGACGACCTGGTCACCGTCTGGTCGTTTGCTGAGAGCCGTGTGGTGGCAAGGGGTCACGGCCACAAGTCTTGGGTCAATGTGGTGGCGTTTGACCCCTTCACAACCTCCTTGGAGGATGAGGAACCGATGGAGCTTAGTGGCAGTGAGGAGGACCTCCACCAGGGGGCGCAGAATAACTCCATGCACTTTGGCCGGGTTCGAACAAGCAGCACATTGTCTCGGCTTTCTCGGCACAGTTCCAAAGGCGGTGGCTCTCCGTCGGTCACGTACCGGTTCGGCTCGGTGGGGCAGGACACCCAGTTCTGTCTCTGGGACCTGACAGATGACGTGCTGTTTCCCCGCCTGCCCCTGTCCCGTGCTTTTACCAACACGTTTGGGCCGTCGCTGCCCAACTCGGGCAGTGGGGGGGTCAACAGCAGCTCAGGTGGGGGAGGGAGTGGAGGGGTGGAAGGACAC